GACATGATCGATAGACAGACAGATGACAGACATGATCGATACAGATGACAGACATGATCAATAGACAGACAGATAAGACATGATCGATAGACAGACAGATAGACATGATCGATAGACAGACAGACAGACATGATCAATAGACAGACAGATAGACATGATCGATAGACAGACAGATGACAGACATGATCGATCGATAGACAGACAGATGATAGATAGACAGACAGATGACGGACATGATTGATAGACAGACAGATGACAGACATGATCGATAGACAGACAGAGACATGATCGATAGACAGACAGATGACGGACATGATCGATAGACAGACAGATGATAGATAGACAAATGATAGACATGATCGATAGACAGACAGATGACAGACATGATAGATAGACAGACAGATGACAGACATGATAGACAGACAGATGATAGATAGACAGACAGATGATAGACATGATCGATAGACAGATGATAGATAGACAGATGATAGACATGATCGACAGACAGATGACAGACATGATCGATAGACAGATGAGACAAATGATAGACCTGATCGATAGACAAATGATAGACATGATCGATAGACAGAGACATGATCAATAGACAGACAGATAGACATGATCGATAGACAGACAGATGACAGACATGATAGATAGACAGACAGATGTTAGATAGACACAGATGACAGACAGATGATAGATAGACAGACAGATGACAGACATGATCGATAGACAGATGAGACATGATCGACAGACAGATGAGACATGATCGATAGACAGATGATAGAGACAAATGATAGACATGATCGATAGACAGATGATAGATAGACAGACAGATGACGGACATGATCGATAGACAGACAGATGACAGACATGATCGATAGACAGATGATAGATAGGATCGAGACAGACAGACAACAGACATGATCGATCGATAGACAGACAGATGATAGATAGACAGACAGATGACAGACATGATCGATAGACAGATGATAGATAGACAGACAGATGACGGACATGATCGATAGACAGACAGATGACAGACATGATCGATAGACAGATGATAGATAGACAGACGATAGACATGATCGATAGACAGACAGACATAGACTGACAGATGAGATAGACAGAATCCTAGACAGACAGACGTAGATAGATAGATGATAGACAGACATGATATATATACAGACAGAATCCCAGACAGATAGACAGAGATTGATAGATATAAACAGACGATATAGATCAGGGGTGGCGAACTCCGGTCCTGGAGAGCCGCAGTCCTGCAGAGTTCAGCTCTAACCCTAATAAAAACTCACCTGCCTGAAGCTTCCTAGTAACCCTTCAGGCCTTGATTAGCTTGTTCAGGTGTGTTTGATTAGGGTTGAAGCAAAACTCTGCAGGGCTGCGACTCTCCAAGACCGACGTTCGCCACCCCTGATATAGACAGAATTCCAGACAGATAGACAGACGTAGATAGATAGATGATAGACAGATGATAGACAGACAGAATCTCAGACAGAGATATAGATTTTACTTAAAAAAAAAAAAAAAAGGGAAAGTCGTGGCCTAATGGTTAGTCGGACTCGTAACCCAAAGGTTGCGGGTTCGAGTCTCGTACCGGCACGGATTGTAGGTGGGGGGAGTGAATGTACAGCGCTCTCTCCCACCTTCAATACCACGACTGAGGTGCCCTTGAGCAAGGCACAAACCCCCAACTGCTCCCCGGGCGCCGCAGCATAAATGGCTGCCCACTGCTCCGGGTGTGTGTTCAGTGCTGTGTGTGTGCACTTTGGATGGGTAAATGCAGAGCACTAATTCTGAGTATGGGTCACCATACTTGGCCACATATCACGTCACTTTCACTTTCACTTTAGATATAGACAGACAGACGATAGATAGACAGAGACCGACAGATAGATAGACAGACAGACATACATAGATATAGATAGACAGACAGACGATAGACATGATCGATAGACAGACAGACATAGATAGATATAGATAGACAGTCAGAATCACAGACAGATAGATGGTTTAACAGGCAAATAAATAACAGTTATATACTCTCTGACAGAAACAATTTGAGTGGTTTGTTGATCAGATTAATGATCTGGACTGATCATTTAAAAATGTATGACAGGTGGGAGAGGAGGACATTTGACATTCATAAGGCAGTCAAATGAACATTTATTTGAAGAATGCTTATCAAAGCAAAGACTTGATCTGATGGAAGAGGGTCCTGTTACTCGCTCGGGCTGAGTCAGAAACAAACAAACCAAGAGTCACCTTTAAGGCTGTTTTTCTAGAGAAAAGTACGTTAGACATGTCTGCACAACACTTGATACCCTATGAACTGTCCAAAAAAAAAAACATTTTGCAGTTAAGAAAGAGCAACATTTTTATGTGTACTTTTTTTTTTACATCCCTGTCCATCCAACCAGACAATTATGAATAAAAAAAAAGAAAGAAAAAAGAAAGAAAGAAAGAAAATAAACATGCTTGTTTCCTATACATAGCAAGGCAAGAAAAAAACAGGAAACATGTAACATTCCTATGTTTAAAAAAAATAATTAAAAAACCATGGAAAATGAACTTCATTTATACAATTTCTATTACCTAAATGCACAGACAATACATAAAAAAAATAAACCATACCCTTAAACTCCAATCATAAGGATTCACCAGACAAATACAAGATCAAAATTAAAATTGCCACCCCGGCTGATTATAACCGCGCTGTCAGTATTCACCATTAAAAGTACAATTATTATGTATTTATTGTCTTTTTTGACTACATTCCTGATTTGTGATGCATTCTCATCCGAAGCCGATCATACTGTTAACCTACATAAAAACCAGCCCCACTCCCCTGCATAAATGGCATATAAATGCTGGAAAAAAAAAAAAAAAAAAACCTTAAATAGAACACGTCACAAGGCCACGTCCCTAATGCACGTCTCACTTGAAGTACTCAAAGGCATTTATTGTCACATAATTCCATTTTGTTAACATCTAACTATTCCCTCACACACACGCGCGCGCGCACACACACACACACACACAAAAGAAAGCTTTTATACAAAACCAGGAATGCAATGCCTCTGGTGTATAGTTAAGCATGAACAGAGAAAGCCCTTTTTACAATGTTTGTATTTTTGTCGTTTTTTTGTTTTTATTCAGCATCTGCATCAGGCGCAAGATATGCACCGAGCAGGTCCAGAGGGATTTCATCTGTAGCAGAACGTCTGTGCTGGTAGAACCGGCCCGAGAAGCCAGTCCCGTAACGTCTCACGCGGGCCGGTTCTTTTACAGCATTAAGTTTCTAGGAGGTCCATAAGCAGCAACAGGTTCTGCTGGCTGATAAAAAAGCAGCGATTTGTGTCCTTTTCATGGCCCCACGAATGCGAAGTGCCTCTCCGAAGCCTTTACACTGCTGCCAATGTACACAATGTCTTTATGAATCAAAGGAAAGAGCAAGAGGAAATGTAAAAAAAAAAACAAAAAAAACAAAAAGAAACAAGGTGGACAACACAAAATACATTTGGCTTGATAAACTAAAGTGGAGGTGGAAATTTACAGTCGCTTGATATAATACTAAACCAAAAGAAATTCCATTTTGAACGAAACAACTCTTGTTTGAAAAGGTGAAAAAAAAAAGTTAGCAAATTTGTATCATGGACACATTTGGGATTTTAATTGCAATACTTTGATGATCTGCACCAGTTGAAACTGATATGACTTTTTAAATATATAGAAACACAAACTAGTCAGATAGAAGTTTAAATCAAAACATTTAATAAAGAGAAAAAGCGTCAAAGCCTTGGGAAAAAAAAAAGTTCTGAAGAGAATGTTATAGTTTGAATTTGCTGAGGCAATTTTTTTCATTCATTGTTATAAAATATACATGATAAGAGAATTAAAATAAAAGAAACCACTTCACAAATAATAATAATAATAATAATAATAATAAATGCCCCCTTCCATACGTTTAATCGGTAACATGAAATGTCGCAACCCTTTTACTTGAGGGGGATGCCAAATATCAATACAAAGTGCATTAAAAGCAGCAGCATATGAGTGTGTATGTGGGATAAACGGTTAAAAAAAAAAAAAAAAAAACCCCCCCCGGTAATCATTCTTTAATATTCTGTGAATTTAAAAGAGCAGAAAATCACAGGGAAAAGTTTAAACCGGTCCGATGACACGGACCAGGAAATCCTTCAAATGCAGAATTTAAAAAAGGAGGGAAGTGATGTTGAATGGGCGTTTGGCATTCCTCACAGTAAACGCGGGCCTTTAACTGCTAGCACTGTTCAGCACCTGATATGGAGATGCGACTTTCACCGATAGGACACAAGCAACACTGTGGCTATGGCAAACAAGTAAACAATCCCAAACCCCACGTCCAGAACAGAGACGGCCGAAACCAGACCTGCACCTCTGAGTGCTGTGATTGCTATCAAAAAACTATTTTTGATTCATCTGTTACTTCACTATTTCACAGGGAAAAAAAAGATTGTGGATTCATCATTTTAAAACGTCATGCGCAGCAACACGTCCCGACAGCGAAGACTAAGAGGAATGAATATTTTTAAAAAGGGAGCGACAAAATAATCGACAATAATTACAAAATGAAAAGGAATTACGGAATAAATTATAATTTTGTAAATTCATCCTTTTTGTATTAAAAACGTCTTGGATAATAATGTTCAGACACAAACCACCCAACTGCACTGAATAGGCACAATTCTAGAATAATAATAATACAAAAAGAAGAACTAAAATTTGTTCACTGCTTCCAAAACAGCTCCTCTGTACAATAAAAATCTTTTGGTTGTGGGATGACAAAAACAAAAAAAAAAACACTCACATAACAGTATGGCGGCAGCAGCAAAAATGAATTGTTTTGTTTTTGCATACAACTGATTCCTGGCGTCGAAACCCCTATAATGACTTTCAATAAATTGGCAAAATGACTGAAACATTTTAAGAGCGCCTCTTCAGAATCACTAATGTACATTAATTTTGGCAACTGAAGTCTAGACATTGTTTTCTACTGGGGTAAAGGGGACCTAACTGGCTACGATTCCTCCACCGATAGGAACCCAGTTACGCAGTTTCCTGTCCTAGATATAATGATGGCGAAGGTAATGTTGTGTGGCGAATCGGTTTCCTCTTTGTACAGTGTGTGAGCCATCTCAGACCATGGCGCGGTAGGGACCCTGCATCTTGAGGAACTGGATGATAAAGGACGGGCCTCCGGCGACGATCTGCGGCGGGAGGTGGCTGAGGGGGCAGTTCTCTATGCTCATGATGGACAGCTTACTGCACAGCGCCAGCTCGAACGGCAGACTGTGCAGGTTAGGGTTGTCGTTCAGATACAGGTCCTCCAGGTTCTCCAGTGTACCTGTGGGTTGGAGAGAGGAAGGCCGTAAGAGAGCTGCGTATGAATGTGTGTGGCCGTGTGCGTTTGAGGGCAGCGGTGAGCTCGTACCAATCTCCTCAGGTAGGTGCTGCAGCAGGTTCTCTCCCAAGCCCAGGTATGTCAGGTTGGTCAGGTGACCGATTCCTCTTGGCAAAGTGGTCAGCTGATTATTGGTCAACACAAGTTTCTGCAAAGAAATGCCAGAAATTAGTTTCACACTAACCACTATAATAGGGTGACCCAAGGTTTCTGCAGACATGAACAAGTTAAATTTAAGACTTTTTAAGACCTTTTTAATACCACCTTATATGAAATTTAAGACCTAAACCTGTAATGGAAATACACATTTTATTACATACATATGTAATATTGAATGTGTATAAATTAAAAAGAAAACAAAATATAATTTCTGTAATAAATGGTATTTATAACTACGATATACTGCGAGCTTTTAATGTCAGCAGACAATATTCCATACAAAATATCCCAGCAAAATAACTGCATCACTGAGATTTTTGGTGGAGTAAACAATTTATTCTGAAGCAATATTTTCATCAGTGTTCTATCAGCTTTTACATACTTAAATCTGCATATTTAACTTTACAAAGGGCGCACGCGCACTAGACTTCACGTAATGCCTGCACTCTGTAGGTGCTTTGAATGTTTTTTTGTGTAGTCAGACTTGTCATGGTGTTATTTAACTATATCATGTTATGAATAAACTAAACATTTAGAATTTTTACCTCAGTG